AAAAAAAGACATACAATGTTTGGAACTGATTTACATCCTGATCGGGTGTAAATACATTATATATTTGCACAATCTTAAATAAAAATAAATATCGATATTATTTATAGAATATTGAAGAGCTATATTGCTACGAACGTGTGCATCTTCATGATTGAGATGTATGAGAAGTTTAAGTTCACGATAAGTTCGTTTTGCATGTTCTTGACTTTGAAACGGACTACGTATTTTCTTAATAGCTACTTGTTTGCCTGTTTTCTAAATAACAATATATTTACAAATTATTTTTCTTGATTAATACAATCACACATACTGTGTCAGTTGCTCGACTAAAAATGTAGATTTAAATATTAGAAGACTAAAATATAATAAATATTTGAACTTACATGACAGCACCAAAAGCTCCTTGTCCAATATGAGCTGGATTTTCATATCGTATGGGTAATGTAAAAGTAGATCCATTACAAGTAACCGTATGCCATTGTGTTTGATCTGTATTAGCACCGGTAGTCATAGTTGATTTTGCTAAAATGAAAAAAACAAGACATAGACATATGCATTTATATAGTGTTGATCGTATGAAAACAAAATAAAGGCGTTTTTCGTCGGTTGCGTCGAACAGAAAAAAGAAAGGAAGCAAAATAAAACGTGTCGATTTCAGGTAATATGAAAGGAGGAAAAACCCAAACAAATAGCTCAAATTTATATTAATGGGTAATTGCTTATGTAATTATGAAATTTAATGAGATATTTTGGCAAAAATAATTGAATGACACATGACTACTTTGATAAAGGAAACAAGGAGCGAAGTACCTACAAGTTTTTGCCAATTCAATCGAGTTTATTGTTTGATCAGTGGCGGATCTAGGATGTTGGAGGGGGGGGACGATTTTTCTTTTTAGTATGTAGGGGCGATTTTTGTTAAAAGCTATTTTTTGAGTCCAACCGAAGTGGTGTGAACCTATTTTTTCGTTCATTTTTGCTGTAAAAAATAAAAAAAAATTCGGAAGTCGTCCCACCCCTAAATCCACCACTGTGTTTGATCAACCGTGACGGTGATTTTTCTTGATACAATCCATAAAATAACAAATTTTTCAATCACGGAAAAAATTAATAGGTAATGTTTGTTGTAACGAATAGTTTATCCAAAGATATCGAAATAATAGTTATTTTTATTGAAAGATCAATTGAAAAGATGATAAAAAAAAAGAACTCCAGCATGTGATATTATATGTGTCTTTATGGTTTTGTCTAGATTACTTATTTCTTAAGTATTATCGACAGAAAGAAGAATAGTAAGAATACAAAATTAAAAAGAAATGACAATGACCTCAAATATAAAAAACTCGACTAGGTTTTTTTAATCATCAATCTTCTGATGTATGCATTATTTAGATATCAATATAGTTTCAATAGAAATTATTTCATGTATTTTTCTTTATGAAGTTAGTATTAAACTTACTTTGAAATAGGATTATATTTGCTTATGAAACTTCGTGCTTCTTTATTTTAATAATACAATATCTCAAAACAAGTTAAAATCGACCTATGTTAAAAAAAAAAGAAATATATAAATAATAATTGTCCTTTTATACTCATGAGAAGCATGCGCATTTTCTTTCTTTTCCTTCCTCTTTTGGATTTTTCCCAAGTTTGAAATATTTTTACGTAAAAGAGAAGAATGCCGATGACGATGCAATAATGCTGGGAATTTTCCAAGAGAGAAAGACTCACTACTACTGTCACATATTATGGAAAAGAAAATTTATGAATTATTCGAACATGTATTTTGTATCTACTAATACGATATGTAACTTATGGTATTTTTCGTTCATCTTGAGTACCGCTACCTATATGTATACGTACACACATATCTTTCTGTTGTTCTTATTCTCATCTCTCTGATCTTGTTTGTGTCGTTGAATAAACATATAGAGAATTAGTTTATCAAATAAACGCAATTGAGAATAAATAACTGTAAATATTATGTAATTATATACATAGATATTTTATAGAAAAATAGTTCAAATGTATAAAAAGTTAGTTCTGTCTACTGAAAAGCTATTTTTATTTATTTAAAACAGTACAGCATAGCTTCATAACTAACTATTAAATAGAGTCTTCTAACACTGGTAGATACATTTTTTATGAACTTGGTTCTATTCGTTGTCCTTTATTTAAGATCATATTGCTGCGCCACGAATCATGGAATATTATTCTGATCTCGTTTTTCTTCATATAAGTGATGCTGTAGCATATTCAATCAAAACTATCAATAATTTAAGAATAGCAATATCTACTTTCGATACATAAAATTTGTAATCTTGATATTTTTTTGTATCTTCATCAACATTAATACGAATTGAGCTGATTGTTCACAAGGTAGTACAAATAGTATATATAGTTGATTTATTCTCGAAAGAGATACTTTTTTATGTAAAAAGAAAGTTTAAATGAATTCTATTTATTATTTCAAATCATTTATATTCGACGAATCAAATTTATAATTTTTAGGTAATCAATTCCAAAACTAAAATCAAGAAGAATTATAGATATAAATAGAATTCTGTATTAAATGAGTAAATATTCATTTTTATTCTTGCATTGATGTTTCTTCATTTCTGTCTTGAGAAACCATATGAAAGTTTTTTGATTTTTTTCTAATGATCAAAATATCTAATTATGAGAGTATTGATCGATGATCGTTGTAATAATACTGTTATATTCTCGTTACAATGTCAGTCAATCCAATTAATAAAAATCAAATGTCAATATTTAGTTATGAACTTGTACGACATCATTCCTCTCATTTTTTTTCTCTCATTCTAAAAACAGTTAATGTACACCTTTTTCTCATAAGTAGGATACGATGGTCTTGTTTATTTAACTTCCATTTATATCGGCATATTACTTTTTCTAAATTGTTCTTCATCACATCGTCGATGAATGTATATTTTTACTATAGACATACTTGATTCAAACGAAACAAATCGAACTTATCAAGAGTAGAGAATCTACTCAGCTTTTTTTTTTATTCTTTTTTCTTCTTCTACTCTTATCAGCTTATTACTTTTTATAATACTTAGAAACGTAGAAGAACAATATGACATATCATATCAAAAGAGAACATTTAAAAAACTGGGATTTACAGCCAATTAATGAAAATCCTATTATTACTACTATTGATGATGATCAAGATATTTATATATCAGAACGATCATCTATGACATCATCTAATGATACAATTAAAATATTTAGTCCAATTACTAAACAAACACCAACACCATCTTCGCGTTTTATATTGCCGAAAAAACCACCTCATACTCTTAAATATCCATATAATAAATTACCAGAAGATGGAATACCCGCTGCTATTCATTATCAACTTAAACTTAAAAATGATAAGAAACTAAGAACAACTATTCGTAAAGCACCACCAGGTCAAGGAAACCTAGTTCCAATTCCACAAATAAAACCTGTTGAATCAAGTAATAACTATTATCCTTATTGGTACTATTATAAAATGCAAAATCCTGATTGGATTATGCGTCAACGTCGTACAACTGATGGTCAAATAATACCCTATGATTCATTTGATCCATCAAAATACCTTCCTCCTCAATCTGAAATAACAACATCACCACCAAAACAAAAAAAACGAACACGAAAATATCGTCCTAATGATGTACCTCTAATCCAATCTAATCAAGATAAAGAACGTGTTGATTATTCAGAAAAGAATTTGTTAACATCGTCACATCTAATGCTTCATGAAGATCAACAACAAGTACCATTAAAACATTATATACCATTAAATGATATTGACAATAACGAACATCGAGAACAAAAACCTAAACGAAAAATATTACAACAACGTCCAAAACCTAAAATTGAAAATGAACGAAATGATCATAATATTCCGTCACTTTCAAATAAACCATCTTATGATTTGGACAATTTGATGATAGTATCCAAGCCTATAGAAAATCGATCGAAAAATCAATCAAAACTATCAGATAAACATACTTTAAATTCTAATATTGATGACAATGGTAAACGCCGTCATCATCATCATCATCATCAAACTCAATTACAAAATCACCATCATCCAAATCAAACACATTCGCATATTCATCCTTCTATTCCTTCTCAACAAAATCATTCTCATCAACATCATCATCGTTTTCCTCAAAATCAAACTCATTCACATAATAATCCTCATACAGTTTTGCAACAAAATCATCACCCCGAATATTATCAGCAACATGTTCATATTCGACGTCGTCCATTATCCAGTATATATGTCAATTCGGACGTTCAAATTGTTGATATTTTATTTAAAGATCATGTACAAGATGATTATCATCTACCTCCACCAGCATCTTATAATCTAACCCATCCTTTACCACCTGTTACACATGATCATCATCATCATCAGCAGAAAACAAATCCAATTCGATTTCCGACTGATAATTATGGCGCATTAAATCGACAAACACACGGTAAAAATGGAAAAGAATCAATACGAAAAACAAAAATTTATAAACCTGATCTACATACATTATACTCTAATAATAATCGTGTACACAATTTAGTAGATAAACGACTAGCAGTTTAATTGCTATATATGTCAAAAAAAATATATTTAAACTTGACTATACTTTTCTAATAAAGAAGAAAGGATAATTTAAAAGTAATGCTAAATGATTTAAGTAACGAAAAGGTTAACTATTTTCAGACAAGGCCACATGTAAAGTTGCTTTAAAAATTATAAAATGGTAAGAATAAACACTTAAATTAAACTTCATGACTATATACACTTAAACTTCAATGTTGTTGAAAGTACGAGAATACTGTGAAAATGTTTCACTCGTTAAGATGTACTCACTTATATGTGCTTACAAATTAAAAGAACTTTAATCCCTGAATGATAATTTATATTAATTACAATATGCAATAGAAATCAACGTATCAACTGGCTTTAATATAAGGACTAAACATGATTCTGTTAGTTATTAGCGTCATCTATCGCTCGTTATCTGCCATTAGTTGAAATCAAAATCCATATTAGAGTTATCGTGTCTACAAGTAATGGATGAGAAGAAGAAAAAAAACAAATAAATCGAGTGGTTAGACGAAATAAACAAGGCACGACTACTTAATAATAAGGAAATTTGAGATGAAGAGATCGTATCTCTAAACATGTGTTTAAACTACTATTTTAAACAAAATTCTATTTCAAGAATGTCTTCATTGTGATTATTTACTTCTATACGGCTTTTTTTTATTTTCATATAGATTTCAAAATGTCTTCAACATTAACAAAAAAACCTAATAGACTTGTATCAAATAATAAAGGATTTTGTAGTGTATTTGGTATAAAAGCTGCTATAATTATTGTCAGTTTTCTTCTTTTGGTAGCTGTTTTATCATTATTTTATTTATCTTCTTGGACAATTGCAACCAAACATAAATTTGCTTTACTTGCTTCTGCATATTTATATACAACATCAACTTATTTCTTATTAATTTCGGCTTCAATTACAACGATAGCAATTATTGCTCTTTTTATGACAGCATGGAATGAAAATGAAAAAGGATTAAAATTAGTAAGAATATCAACTAAAAAAAAATTCTTATTCTATAAATGATTATTTAGACACTACTTATATTAATACTGACATTTGTTTTTGAAATAACTGCTGGTCTTTTAGCATTTGGTTATACCGTACATGTAAGTTGACTAAAATAATAAATATTAAGTTATTCATGTTTATTTTTAGCTTGAAGAACGTTTATCAGAAAATTTACTTGAAACTATTCAACATAAATATTTATATGATAGTGGAAAAACTGAAACATTTGATCAAATGCAAAGACTTGTATGTAAATTTAAATCTATCATTTCGTTTACATTGGTTTTTTTTTAGCTTCGATGTTGTGGTTCAAAATCATTTAAAGTAAATTAGTTTCTTTTTTATTCTAAATAAAATATAATTTATGAATATTAAATTAATAGGACTGGCAATTAAATACACATTTTAATGTATCTATGGATTCAGCTGTACCTGATAGTTGTTGTAAATCATATGAACCAAAATGTGCTCAGAAACCATATGGAAAACATCCATCGAATATATTTTATAAGGTATTACCACGTTCTATTTCATTCGTTAGTTGATAATAGATGAAAATCAGTGATTGCAACATAATTATGACACTGATATTATTTCAACCAATGATGAAATATTTCCGTGTCTATGTTTATTTGTTAAAAAAAATAAAATATTATTCTCGTCTTTTATTAGGGCTGTTCATCTGCACTCTATAATTTTTATCATACACATTTAGTTACACTTGGATGTATTACAATAGGTGTTGCTTTTCTCCAGGTAAGATTTCTTCATATTAATATCAGACTATATAATTATTTTATTTTTTTTTTCGGAAAAAGATATTTACAATTATTTTATTGGTTTGGTTAATCAAACGTATTGATAAATTAACAGGATTTAATCATCCAGTTATACCTCCAACGAAAGTTCGTCGTTTATCGAATGAAATTACATATTATCCAATACAATCATCAGCATCAGTCAAATAAAATATCTTTACAATAATAAATGCATGAAATCACACGTCCACTTAGTTCAGATATATCTCACTGTTTATATATTTCTATATGAATTTAAATAATTTTTTTAGACATTTAATTTTTATTTGCATGAAAATATATTTCAATAGAAATTATTATCTTGGTTTTTTTTTCTAGATTAGTTGTGACGTGAAAAGAATTATTTTTTGTATATAAATCAATAAATATTGTTTTCATGTTAATCGACGACGAAGTAGCATTACGAGAATGGCTCGTTGCAACACTGGAACCATTGTATGTTTGATTTTTATATTTATTTTATTTTTTATTATATTTTATTTATTCAAGATGTGATGCTGAACCAATTGCTTTAGCTCGTTATGTTCTTGCTCTCGTTGCTAAAGATAAACCATTAGATAAATTACGTGAAAATTGTATTGATCGACTTGAAGTTTTTCTTGATCGTGGTTTGTAGATGAATTAATTTAGAAGCGAAAAAACATTTTCTTCTTTTGTCTTTTTTTTAGCAACAAAAGATTTTGTTGATCAATTATTTGATGTTATTCGAAATGGACGATATATTCCCGAAGCAAAAAAAGTTTGTTCATCATTTTTTCCGCTAACTTTTGATTTATTAATCTTTTTAATAGGAAAATGTTCAACCAAAAGCAAGTGAGAGTACTGAGGATAAATCAGGTGAATCGTCAGAAATATTAGAACAACAAAATTCAGCATCACCAACAAAACAAGAAAATGATCAACAACAAATTCCAACAACTACTCAAGCATCAGCATCATCTGAACATGTAACAACTACTCAACAGCAATCATCAGGAGCAATAATTCAACCTGTAAAAAGACGATATTCATATCGTTCATCATCCGGTCGTCATCATTCACCAAATCCACGTCGACATGTTAATACGAGTAGTGGTGGTGCTAATCGTCATCAAATAACATCTCATTATCGTCAAACAACCAATTCATCGAATCAACGTTCACATCGTTCATCATCTCGTTCACGATCAGTATCACCGCCACCAGCTAAACGTACACAACGCTCCTATTCTCATTCATCAACAGGCTCATCATCACGTTCATCACCATCACGTCAAATAAATACAATTCATCAAGCATCAACTACAAATACAAATTTTTTATACAAAAAAATTCCTTGTAGTGATTTTTTTGAAAATAAAGGCTATTGTGCACTCGGAGATTCATGTCCATATGATCATGGTACAAATGCTGTTGTTTTTGAGCAACAACAGCAGCAACAGCAACAGCAGCAGCAACAGCAACAACAACAACAACAGCAGCAGCAGGCATACTATCCTCCTTATCAACAATATGGTATGCCACCACCTCATCTTCATCCTCATTATCATGAATATAATCCTGAAGCACCTGATTTAAAACATGGACCTCATCAAGGTCCACCAATGTTTATGAGACATCCGATGCATCATCATGCACGTATGCAAGGACCACCATTGTCATCAGGACAACCTCAATCATCACAACAACAAATGATGATGAATCCTCAACGTACACTTGTCACTGTTGTTACTAATGCAGAACCGTTACCACTGGAGCAAAGATTACGGCAAAATGATTCCAGTATAAAATTCATTAGTTTTATTTGTAATATTCATTTTTTTATTGTATATTTTTTTCTAGTGGGAATGTCTATTCCTCCCCCTATGCATACTAAACGACATATCATTACTGGACCTTATCCCAATGATCGACGAGCACAACAACAGCATCAGCATCAGCAACAACAACAACAACCACCACCACCGCCACAACAACAACAACAACTACAACAACAATCACAGCAACATGAACATCCATCGAATAATGATTCAAATAACAATAATAATAATAATAATAATAATAATACGAATCATCCTAATACTAATAATGGATATCATGGTCGAGGATGGAAACGTCCATGTATGTTTAATTTTTTTTTGAAATCTATTATCTATATATATATTTAATTTATTTCAATTAAATATAGGGCAAAAACCTGATGGATCCGCATCAGCACCAGCAACATTAGAAATACGAAAAATTCCAGTTGAATTCAATACTATTTCAAAATTAAATGAACATTTCAGTAAATTTGGTACAGTAACAAACGTTCAAGTAAATCAAAGATTATTTTCTTTTCCAATAAATAAAATCGACATCTATTTTCTATTAGATTGCTTATGACGGATCACCTGATTCTGCACTTGTTGCATATGCTACATTACATGAAGCAGAACGAGCATATAAGAATCCTGAACCATTATTTAATAATCGTTTTATTAAAATATTTTGGCATAACAGCAATAAAGTAATCTATTTTTTGTTGTTTATTCTTTTTCAAATATGTGATTTCAATTTAGGGACAATCTTCTGGTAATAATAGTAATAATTCTAATCAAACCACACAACAACAACAGCAATCATCATCGGATGTTTCTTCAACAAAAAAAATCTACATCAAATGCACCAAATCCCATGAAACTTCATTGGATGAAAATGCAAAATTTATCAGGAAATAAATCTGAACAACCAACAACTGTAAAATATCTTTATATTCTTAATCTTTTATTTTTCTTTAAATCATTTTTAGACTTCTCTAACAAGTTCAACTCCAGTAACAACTGCAAACACATCAACAACTACACCACCAGTACAACCAGTAAAACAACCAACAATACCACAATCAATAACAATAACAAAAAAAGAGGCAGTTAAAAAAGCAACAATTGAAATTCATCGTAAAAAACAAGGTTTATTAGAAGAACAAATTCAGCAACAAAAATTATTATTAAAAAAACTGGAAGCAGCTGAAACAAGTACTGAAAAAGAATCTATAAAATCCTTAATGAAACAAATTGATGCAACAATTGTTACACTTAAAGATTCACTTCGTTTAACACCACCCATTAAATCTTCATCAGCAACAGCTGCACCTATACCACCATCAAAACCAATACAACCAACTAAAATTAGTCAACAAGATGCTCTTAAACAACGTGCACAAACTTTACAAAAACAACTTGAAACTCTAAGAGCTAAAACATCAGCAGATATGGTAAAATACTTGAATACTGAAATAAACTTCTTTAACTATTAAAAAATTGTTTTGTTTTTCATTTAGCGTCGTGCAATGAGTTCGACATTAGGTCAATCATCATTAAGTTTTAGCAATGTTCTCAATGAAAGTGATAATAGAACAATACAATTAAACGAACAAAAACAAAAACAAGTTACTATTAAAAATATTAATGATTTATCTAGAAATGAATTAGACGAATTTCTAAAGAAATCTGGAGCTACAAAAATTCAATCAGGTGATACTAGTAATTCATTACTCGTTACATATTCTTCAAAATCTGATGTCGATAAAGTAAAAATAAAGACCATTTTTTTTATACAGCGATATATCTTTCATATATTTTTAGATACAAAAAGATGGATTAACATTTAAAGATCGTAATCTTGATATATCTTTCCATGAAGATCCATCGTTAAATACAAGTTTAAAAAAACGAACATTATCAGAAACGATGGAAGATGAATTACTAGGAGGAGGAGGAGGAGGAACAGCAGCAGCAACAGAAACAACTAATGAGGATGAGGATGAACCTAAAGCAAAACGACGAAATCAAAGTCAAACCAGTGATGTAGATCAAAATGAACAAGTAAGTGTTATTTCATAAATTTCTCTAATCTAAATTCTTCTCTAATACAAAAACTAGATTGAAGAAATTGTTGATGAAGAAGATCAACTATTAGCTGATAATGAAAAATCAGCAAATAATAGTCAAACAAAAAATGCAAATCAATCAATAGGTAGTTATGACGAATCAAATCAACAATACGAATTTGAACCAAATGATCTTGATGATGAAGTTCAATTACTCGATTCTTGATACAGTATTTGTATTCATTTTTGAATAGAAATCTATATATATATAATACTTTGAACATTTATTGAAAAATACAGTTGGTGTCTTTTGTGTGTTACATTTTTTTTTTTTGCTTTTTTTTCTCGGCGTGTGCATGTTTCTTTTTTTTTCTTTTTTTTTGTCTATTTCGCGCCTCTAGTTATTTGTTTCGTTTATTTGTTCCATTTTGACTCTGTTATATGTCGTAAACATACATACACACATACGCGTATTGCATACTTCCACCAAACTATCAGAAAAAAAAACAAACTATATTATACAGAATAAAAAAGAATCTAGCTAAATATTTCATTCGAACACCGAAATTTTATGGTGTTCAGTCAACCATAGTAATTATTTTATTTTTTTAATCGGTATATTGTTACAATGATATTATGTAAAAGATTGATTGACTGTTAATGTAATTCGATGTAAACACTTTCGATAGTGAAATAGAGAAAAAAAAAGGCGATGATATATATATAGGAGTGAGGTAATGGTTGAATATAATTGATACATTATGATATATAGTTAGGGTTTTATTCTTAATTTGTAAAAGAGTATGTCTCTATCGAAAACGAAGAGAAGATTATTATGTCATTCATTTGCATCTAATTTTTAGCAATAAAAATTACATGATGTGAAATATTAAGAAATCGATAGAATCTATAAAAAGTTATGTCAATCGAGATGTTAACATTGCTGATGAGAAAAAGAAAGAACGAGGTGTCCTTATGCTACTATGTAACATATATTCGATTTTGTGATCTTAAAAAATTAGTATATTTTTGAATTGTAATAGTAGTAATCAGATGTGACAGATTTGTTACATGTTATGTACATAAACCATATAAAATATATCGAACGAAGATAGGATTAATATTGTCTGACCCCACCTATCTTATCTTTGAAATCGGTATTTAACTTAATGTAATACAATCGATATTACTTAGTATTGTTTGTACTGACTTATCAGATGATAGAGTGCATTCAAGCTAGTCATTGTGTTTTGATAAAAACATAATTGGATATTATATATTGATATATCCTAATTTTAAGTCTTGTTATTTTTTTTACATCAATATGTATTAATAATAAATTTTGTAAGATATTCGTTGTGTATATATTCATTAATTCAGTTTGTTTTAAGAAAAGATTTGTCTACTATTTAAATACATGAAGCTATTTAAAATATCTAACTATCTATCAAATCGATACGATCAGTAACAACATATTGACAATGTTTATAAAAATTATATATAGATAAAGATTAGATCTCATATATATTTTATATGGCTAGTTACAAATAAGTTTGTAAAGATGTATAGGATAAAGTCTTGGATATTTTTCAAATTAAATTCTACAAGCCTAATAATAAAATAATATAAGATTTGATAAGAGCTTTACACATGATATATTTATATTTCGAAATAAATTTTTTTTAAATGCTTTTTCGTTCGCAATCAAATATTATCGTATAGTGATAAAACTATCAAAAACGTCTATGCCGTTTCTATTATGATGGATATGTGTTAGTCTTATTATTATGATCAGTATAGTTATTTGTGTTTAAGGTATAGATACACGAAAGGTCAGTAGGCAATCTGGCAATAGGTCACAATGAAAAAGAAACGAGAGAAAACGAAAAAAAAAACGATAGCGATCGTCACTACCGCCTTACAATAACACATTCACTATTCTCATTCATTTGCTACACAGCCATATTCTCGATTGATACGGTCCGATGAACATCACATATTGTATCTCATCTATTGTGTCCAGTAAGCATTAATGATAAGAAGCGTGTTTTGTTGTACTCTTTAACGTTACTGTTTCTTCTTCAACGACAGGCAAAAAAACGATGTTCATTTTATATCATTAAAAACTTTCCAGATAAATCATTATGCTTTATCCAACAACTGAATATGCTTATGTTGATGAAAATGGTCAAAATATTGATACACCACCATCAACAACAAGATATATACAACATTTCTATACCGAGAGTAACGAACAACCAGCTTCCACTCAAATGATTTTGGATGACAATAATTTCGATAGTAATCAACAACAAGTACAATATCGACCAATTGTTATTGATGGTTCACAACCATTGTAAGTTCAATTTATGTAATAAAAAAATTTGATTAAAATCGAAGGATTTTTGAATAAAAAAAAAAACTATTTGTCGTGATCTATATACATTTTATCTGAATCATGAAGCGTAACTATGAATTAATAAACCGATAATTTTGTACGTTTTTTTTTCCTCATTTAAAAATTTGATGAATAATTGGATCGTTGTAAAATGAAAATAATCATATGTTGTGGATTTGTTCATATTTTCATCATTTTTTTTTATTAGTCATGCATGTCACAAGACATTTGATTACATTGAAAATATTAATTTTTTCTATAAAATAATAATTATAAATTTTTAATTATTTAGAGCAAAATGTAGTGTACTTTATTTGGGTACGGCTATTTCTTCGCCTGGTCAACGTGGTATCGATGCTATACAAGAACCTTTATCCCGCCGATATCCAGTAGATGGTAAAGAAGTTGTTCGAGGTACGATATAAAGAAATATACATTATTTTTTTTTATTAATCTCTATTTGTATTGAACAGGTATTGAAGCGTGGCTATCTATATATGATAATGGTTTACAATTACAATTTGCTCGTGATCCATCTGTTGTTTTATTTTATCCAATACGATCCCTTGTCTATTGTGCGAGTATTCGTTTTGCAACACGAACACAAACAGGTGCGGAATTTCCAAATGGTTGGCGTTTTGTTCCGTTGGATTCACCAGCTGCAGCTCGAGTAGAAAATACACGAAATCCACCTTTATTTGCTGTAACTTTTCGACGTACTCGTCATTTACCTGTTGATGAATGTCATTCTTTTGTAACAAAAACAAGACAAGCTGCATTAGCACTAGTTCAAGCTTGCTTTAGTGCTTATCAAGCAACTGTACCTCAACAAGATTGTTCAAAAGTCCCACTTTATTTTAAAGTAAAAAACAAATTAATAAAGAAATTGATATTGTATTGAATTAAATTCATTATATAAATCTGTAGGTTGATGATTATGGATCGAAAAATAAAGAAATTGATAATGAAATACGTATTGTACCAGCACCCGATCGAGAACGAACATTAGATTATCAAACAAATACAGAAGGTGGTGGTTTTTATTATAAAACAGATCGTGTACCTATTGATACATGGCAATTATGGGAACATCATAAACATGACAATGATCGATCAACAAGTAAAAATCGTTCTATAACATCAAGATGTAAATAATTTATTATTAATTTAATATATGAGTTATTTTATATTTTCTTCCTTATTTAGCTCGTTCATGTAGTTCAAGTCGTACAAGCGCTTCTTCATCATGTACATCATCGTCTTCTTCGTGTTCCTCATGTCATCATAGTCGTCGGAGTCGCCGAAGTCGTCGTCGTCGACGACGATTAGCATCAATGGCATCAGTTAATACTATCCAACGGCAACAGCAGCAGCAGCAGCAGCAACAACAACACCAACAGCAACAACCACAATCCTTTCAAGCACCTGACTCACAATCGTTATTTACAAATACTATTAATACGGCGGCAACCACTCCTGTTCCACAATCAGCACAATCCAATGTTGATCCATATGCACCAGCACCGAATTTAATTCGTGTTGAACGTATAAAAGATGTTAATTCAGGTCAAGATGTATTTATTCGATGGATCAGTGAAACAAATCCTTCATCAACAGTAAATGATGAACAACAAAATTCTGCACCACAACAAGCTTATTCTACCCAACCCCCGTCAAATTCAGGAGCAAATTATCGTTATCAATTAGAACAAGACTTACCAAGTGAATTAGAACAAATGGCATTAGAAGATGAACATCTACGAAAATCACTTTTATTTGATGATAGATCACCATCAATATCATCGAATTATAAACAGAAGAAATATAAAAAACGGGGAAGTCATCGTAGTTTTGATAATGATAAAGTTAGTTATGAAGTTGTAAATGGATTTTTTGAAGATCGTCAAGGTAAACGACGTCCAATAAAACTTGATCGTCCCCATATGAATACGATGGTTAAAGACTATCGACATTTATTTAATGATCCAGTTAATTCATCTGTGGTACCAAATGATCGTCGTCTTATTCATCCAGCAACATCAGTAGTTCATCCCGCAATTCGAGAACAACAACAACAACAACAACTACAACCACAAGTTCAACCACAACAACAACAACAACCACAATTTCCTATACTTACATTTCCTCGAACAAATCAACAATTGATGAGACCATACGGAGCACCATTTATTCCACGTGCTGCACCTATGTATCCACAACAATCATTCCCAACAACACCATTATTTTCTCAGCCAAATTTTATAAACGGATCACCTATGGCACATCCTCCATATTGGTATCGACCAATGTAGTACTTTGTTAATCATTTGTTAGTTGTTTTCTTTGCATATTGTTATTCTCTTTTTAATAAAAGAACGTTTTTGCAAATAAGAAAAATCTACAAAAAGATATTTGTTTTTACGATAGGTAACTTCCACTATGTCTGTGATCTTGTAATAGTTTACCTAATGTTTATTCATGACTTAACTGAATTATTTATGAACTAAATCATCTTTTCTCTTTCAATGTTAGTCAAAAAACATTTACTTTTGTTGTCTAAACGAAAAAATTAATTTTCAACAAAAATAAGAATCATATAAAATCGATTAAAATATAGACTTTGTTCTTCACATATAGAATTATCAGGTACTATTTATCTATGAATATATATATTTTATCGCGGAAAATCACTCTATAAATAGATTTTTTTTCTAATCTTCAGCGAAAAATGTTAAGACAAAACACATTTTTGTACTATTAAAGTATTCCTAATTTAATAGATATAATTACGGAAACTCAACATTTACTACAAAAACGTTAAAATGATCTGAATTTGTTAAATTCGTATATATATATTGAACTGCAATAACTAAGAACTAGTGACATCTCATTTAAAGTGTTTTATATTAATTATTATCGAACAATAATCGAATATTAATTGACAAACTTTTTTAATTCTGTTTGTTTTTTTATTTGATTCATGATAATAATAACAATCATTAGGAGGCTAACATTTAAAAGAAACGTATATGATTCATTCATTTAAGCCAATTAGAACATGTTTGACACCCTTCACAAAAAGAAATTTCGAAATTTTTTTTTTACTCTTATGTTAGTGTTAGCTTTTTTCTTTTCTCTCATAGAAGAAACAAAATGCATCATCGAATGTCTTTCTCGCTCATTCTTTTTACACATTTGATGTGCAGGCGTAGAGTACACATTTTAATACATAACATCTATTCGTCGATTTATTCATGAAAAAAAAAACCGTTTTTTTTCTCTCTTTTCTTTTTAGTATTTATTCATAATACAAATAGCTTTAATCGTCTAATTAGTGACGATAGAAAACCATTAACATTTCATTTGTATTATTATTGTTATTATTTCAACTAATATATTATATATTGTTAACAATAACATATTCATTTTTGAACAGTACAAATTCCATAATTGATTAACGTTTATTTATGACGAATCAATACTTTATATGTATATAAATTATACCAGAGCAATCAAATATCTAACTTAATTTTTACATATTACTTATATTTTCTATTATATTTCATTAATGCAAGCTATGAATACTGATCAACAACCATATTATCCTGCTCCGTCAGGTCCACATCCAGCTCCGAATGGTTATTATCAACCAAATGGAATAGATACACGTAAATTTTTCGTTTGAATTTACAATTTATTAAATATTTTCTTCTCTGGAATTCTTCTAGATTTTACACCAAGAAATCCAAATGGATATGGGCAACATCGTATGCATCAATCTGTATGAATTAAATAAATATCTTTTTATTTTTATTTCTATATTATTTATAAATATTTAGTATTATCCACAAGGACCTAATGCTTATAATCCACAACAAGTTTATATGCAATCTTTTGTACCACCTTCACCATTCGTTCATGCGAATGATCCACAATCAATGGTAATATTTTTTATCGGAATTAATATTTTTAATTCTTCTTTTTTTTCTTCAATAGACCCCATTTCGTCTTGTTGTTCGGCCACCGAATGAAGTTCCCACTGGAGCACCAAATTATATGCAACCAACATCGTACTTATCATACCAAAATAATAATTTACAGCAACAATCAACTGCATATCCTACACCATACTATCGTCCACGTAATGCTTTTGAAACTTATGAAAAATAAATAATAATATATTTATATTTATAGCTTATCATGTGCCACAAAATATTCCACAACAAACATCAGCAGCACAATTATCTAATCAAACACAACTATCACCTTCGCAATATACTTTACCTAATAATCAGCAACAAACACAATCATCGATTAATCAACAATATGGAACATCATCTCAGTCTTCACAATCACAAGAAAAACGTAAAAGACAACCATTAAAAATTGTTGATCCGGTGTCACAAAAAGCTCTAGAATTGGAACCAGAAGCTCCATCAGTGAATTCAACTCCATCAAACGATGAAGATCGTCAAAAAGATACAGTTGTTGATTCAACAAATATCACGTCAAAAGTACCTGATGATACAAATAAAACTCAAAAACGAGAAGATTTTCGAAGGCAAATGGCTGATTTAATTAAACCTAATGGTTCAACAGAGAAGGTATGTGAAAAATCTTTCAGTTGATATTTTTACTTTTCTTTTAATTAGACTGAAAATCAATCATCAAATGTTGTTAAAAATGAACCTCGTAAAGAATCAACAGCAATTAAAACAACACAACAATCACAACCAGGCTATCCTGGTATTCGTACTCGAAGTATAACTGATGAAAAACCAGTTCTTCCACCGAATTTAGAAGATACAAAAGAGAACAAACGAGATCAAATTAATTCTCAAAAACAACTTGAAAATACAAATTCAGAAACAACGGTAAATCATTTTGTTTTCATTGAGTATCTGAAGAGATCTTCAAATTGTTATTTTTATTTCGTTCTGTTTTATTACGCAAGATCAAATAATAACAATAGCATTGTATTAAGTAAAAAGAAAAAAAAAATCTTTCTCATTCGTCTAATTTGAATAACAATTATCTTTTATGTTGGGTTTTTACCCAATTTCACTGCATGTCGTTTTTATGAATCATAGACAGTTCTCTTTCATTCTGTTTGTGAAAGTGCCTAGTCATGTATTTAATACGCAATAAACAACTTTATTGTGCAAGAATGTAGAGTAGAAAAAAAAATTTATCTAATTGTAAATAATAATAAGAGATTTTAAAAGTCTATGTTTTCCTTTAAAAAAGGCACTCTATTTTAATTAAACTAAAAAATATGGCAATTAAAAATAAACGATATAGAAAACAGAAATATCAGGTTTTATATTATTAATATTAACGAATTATTTAATTTGTAATTTTAGTCTGATAATGAAGTTCAATCAACAGAAGAAATCCAATCAGATACTTCAGATATAATTGATAAAGCTCAACCAGCATCAACTTTACCTGCTACTGAATCTTCAGATGATATAACAGCAACACCATCGAATGATACAGAATCTGAATCAGTCACCAGCGAGAAAACTCCATCAAAATCACAACGATATACATATAGTATCGAAGAACTTCGTGCTAAACGATATGCACTTTCAGCACAAAAAAAACCGACTGATCTTAAATATGTTGCTGATATTTATATTCCACCTGCAAAACCAAAATCAGTTGATGCCAACGTTAAATTTTTACGTGAAATTAGATTGATATTAAATAAGTTAACACCACAAACTTATGAGAAATTATTAAAAAAACTTGATGAACTTGAACTTGATCGTTATGAACGTTTAGAAGGAATGATAGATATATTTTTTTCCAAAGCAGTTGAAGAACCAAAATTTTGTTTCATGTATGCAGCTTTATGTCAACATTTTCAAAGAAAACAAGTTACCGTACCTGGTCTAGATGGTCAAATGATAACACATTATTTTCGACAAATATTATTAACACGATGTCAAACAAAATTTGAAACTGATTATCGACAAGATATTGATTATGATAAACGAAAACTAGAACTTGATGCTATTACAGATGAAAAACGTCAAAAAGAAGCAGCTGAAGATTTAGAAGAAGCTTTATTTAAAGCTAAACGACGAAATTTCGGAAATATTCTTTTTATTGGTGAATTATTCAAATTAGGAATGTTGACAGAAACAATTATGTTTGATTGTATGGACTATTTACTTCAAGACAAAGCTGATGAAGAAAATCTTGAATGTTTATGTAAACTTTTACGTGCTATTGGCAAAGAACTCGATGCTAGAGTCAACGATAAGGTATGTTTGATTGAAAAAAAAAGCAAATTAAATAATCAATTTGAAACTGATTTTTTTCTTTTTTTTCTTTCTTTGCTTATGTCTACTATCAGAAAGTAAGTGTTAATTTTGATAGATATGCATGACTGTTTTCTTAAACTTGCTCATTCTTTTCTAACACATTTGTTTATCGTTATTTGTTATATAATAATATGATTTCTAAATATTTCTTTTTCTTAGTCACAAAATCGAAAAAATTTGGAAAATAATTACAAGGAATTAGAAAATATTGTTGGAGTAAAACAAGTATCAGCACGTGCACGATTTATGATTCAAGATCTGATGGATTTAAGAAAAGCAAATTGGGTTGCTCGTATTGCTGAAGCAAAACCCATGAAAATTGATGATATTCATGAACAAGAACGAATTAAACGTGAACAACAAGAACGTGATCAAGAACGTGATCGACAACAACGTCGAGATCAACATCGTAATAATCCAGGCGGCGGTGGTGGTGGTGGTAATAATAATCCACAACAATATACTGGACGTGGTAGTCGTGGTAGTGGTATGAAACAACAACCAAATCGAATGGATGACGACCGAAATGTGAGTCGTTTTAGTGTTAACTCAGTACGACAATATCAAACGAGTGATAAGCGAAATCCAACAACAACATTAAATCTTGCACCACAATTTACATGGTCGAAACCAGCAACAACTGAAAAGAAACCTGAAGATGATCGTGCCAATATGAATCGAACTGGTAAACCTCCAAGTGGTTCTACTCAACAATACAACAACAAATCTAAAACAGCTACACCTCCTGGTACACCTGGTTATATGACTCAACGACAACCATCACGTGAATTAACACGTGAAAATCCTGTTGAAGTATTACGAAGAACAGCAAGTGCTAGTAAAGAAGTACCTAATTCAAATAATACTTCAATGACAGATTCACGTAATAGTTCTCGTAATGTTAGTCGTGAACAATCACGTAATGCATCACGTGAATCAAGTTTAAATAAAGTATCGGCAACACCAGCATCTACAACAACAGCAGCAGCAGAAAACAATTCATTTGATGAAGAAAAAACAACAACACGTGTACATGCATTAATTGAAGAATATACAGAAAATTATTCTGATAATAATAATCGATCCGTTCTTGAAGCCGTAGAAGATTTATCTGATTTTTGTACATCTAATACAAATCAACAAGCAATTATTGTTCGAGAATTATTTACAAATGTATTAGAAGGCAAACCACGTGCAAGAAAAGCTATTGGACATTTACTTGATATGACATTACAAAAAAATCTTATATCCGATCAAGGTTTTCTATCTGGTTTAAAAACGTTAATTGAAGCTGTACCAGATTATATAGTCGATATTCCACTTGTTTGGCAATATATTGGTGAAATTCTTGGTGCATTTATTGGTGGTTCATCATCAAATATGTTATTGTTAAAACCTATTTTATTATTAATACCAGATGAAGTATCAAAACAATTATTTCAATATATTACTCGTTATGCAATTGAATTTTCTTCTAAATCTCATGTACAAACAAATTGGCAATCAGTTAATTTTTCATTAAATGATTTATTTGAACCAAATTCTATTGATTCATCATTTCTTAATGAATATAATTGGTTATCGGATTCAACAGAAACAACAACAACAACAGGATCAAATAAAGAAAATAATTTACCACGTGCTAATTCACAATTAGTTACATTATTTAAATCTGTTAATGATCCAGATTCAGCAGTACCCGATGCTGAAATAACGAAATATATTCATGAAAAAATGAATTCTGAAGATAAATTTTATATTCGTACTATAGTTTTATCTTATTTGGAAGCATGTTTAATCAATCGTGGACAACAAATTAAAATACAAGAAGATATTGCCAAAAAACGAATGACAGTTCTTAATGGTATTATTGAACATAAACCAGAAGCAGAACTTCAAGTTGTTTATGCTATTCAAAATTTTGTTAGTAAACTTGAACATCCACCAAAAATGGCTCAATTATTATTTGATATATTCTATGATGAAGAATGTGTGAGTGAAGATACATTTTATGAATGGTTAAATCAACCTGATCAATCCGAAATTGAAGGTAATTTTAAATAATATTTTTTCTATTAATAAAAAAATTTTTGTTTTTCAAAGGACATTCAATAGTAGTAGTATCAACGAAAGATTTCTTTGATTGGTTACAACAAGCAGAAACTGAAGGAGAGGGCGATGAAGAATAAAATTGATTATATATGTTATCATATCGATAACCTGTTATTGTTATTTTTTTTCTTTCTTGTTTTACTCGTAGACAATTTTCTTTTTTGTTTTCTGTCAGTCTCTTTATTTATTTTCTACTAGCTAAAGTTAAACAAGAAAAGCATATA